CGTATGAGATGCGATATTATTTATTTCAAATTGATAATCAAATATTATACGGCCGGAGCGGGTGGAAGGAACGATTTTTGGTGTTTTTTTTTTCTTTTTTGCGCTTCTATATAAATATCTACCTAAAACCTATGAAGTACTTTTTTTTTTTTTTGTTATTTTTCTTTTTCTTTTTTTAGCCGCGACGATCAAGTGTCGAACCTTTTTTTTTTTTTCCTTTACAACTTTTTTCATATTTTTCCTAGTCGAGCAAAAGTGGTTTAGTTATTTTTTTATTCCCCCCCTTCCCACTTTAACAGCCACGCCACGTACCGTCGTTTAATCGGTTTCTTTTTTTTCTTTTTATTAATTATTATTTTTCTCTCTTTTTAATATCGCGCAATTATATTAGTACAATTTTTTTTAAACAACAGCAATTATTACATGATATTTTTCTTCTTTTATTATTATTATTTTTTTTGTGTTTTTTTTCTTTTCCCCTTACTTTTTTTTTTTTTTTTTTTTTTTTTTTTTCATCGTAAATCTCTATTAAATATCATGTATATAATATCATCTCTTTCTTCACAATTTTCTAGAATTCCTTTGCAATGATTTCGTTTTAATGCGATTTTATTTATTTATTTTTTTTCACTATATATCGTATTGCTCTCTACCCATTTTTGCTTCGGAGAAACAATTTGTTATTTATTTATTTATTTATTTACTTATTTTATTTTATTTTTTCCTTTTCTCCCCTTTTTTCGTTGATTCTCTCATTCTATTTCTTATCTCACAAAATTCCGTTTTATACCTCCCATAATTTCTCTCTCTCTCTCTCTCTCTCCTTTCTCAATTTCTTTAAAATCTCTCTTCATCTTTTTAATTAATTAATTTTTTTTTTGTTATTTAGTTATTCAGTGTGTCGTCACCAACGCTTCGATTAATTTCATTATCCGTTAATACTTATTAAATATTCATTTAATTATAAATCACAGACAACTTGTTCTTAATCCATAAAAACAATTCATTTATTTTCTTCCAATAATTAACCAACTGCTCGTGGCGCAATTAACGAATTGCATTCCAGATGCATCTTTTAATCATTTAAATTTTAACAAATTATTTCTTATGCGTTGGATGATGACTTTAATACAAAAAAAAAAAGAAAAGAATTAAATTAAAAAACATATATATATAAAATTTGGAGGGAATACAAACAAAATAAAAACTTGATAACAAAAGCTCAGGTGAAAAATCAAGATCAAAAAAGAACTTCGGAGAGTTATTTCGACGGAAGTAACGAGCCGATACTTGCATGGTCGAATTCGTTTGGTCGATACTTCCGGTTGACATAGATGCATTAACTATATATATACACATACACACACATATATACGTGTGTGTGTCGATCGAACGACGAATATAAAAACGAAATTTTTACGGCCCTGTCTTTTTTCTTCTTTTTTTCTCTCCGAGATTCTTTATATATTATATATGTGATGCATATATGCATGTTGTGTTTGTATATATGTATGTATGTACGTATTTATGTATGTATGTAGGTAGGTATTTTTTCTTTTTTTAAATCTAGAAAATAATTCGGCCAAGAATCGATCGAAGTACGTGCAATTTCAATATTGCGCCACTTGCGTTAATTATTTATATTTTAATATACTTATAAATAACTAGGGAGAATATATATTATCTTACGTATTAAAGTGCTTCATCCTTGTATCTTTATTTCCCCCTTTTTTTTTGTTTTTGTTTTTTTTTTTTTATTTATTAATTTCTTTTTTATTCCTTTTCTCTCTTTCTTTGTTCGTTTCGTTTATTAACCCTTTGCGGATAATTGATGTGATACACATTTGTGTTCAACCACCCCTCTTAACACCCCCATTATTTGCATAATATATATATATATATATATGTATAGTTTAAATCAATATATGATTAAAAATAATAATTAATAAGTAAATGTATATATTTATAATGAAAATACAATTTGTGTAGTATTACGTTAGTAAAACAATATTATAATAATAGTGTAGAGAAAGCATTTGTGTTTATTGATTAATCAGTGTATCGATATGGTGTGCAATAGACGGCAAAATTAAGGGTGAGGGGGTTGAATTGGGTTGAATTTGATTGACCATTTCGTTGTTCGTTTCTAATAGAAAGTGTATCACTCACAGTTTTAAATTGTTCCACCCCCGCAAAGGGTTAAATAGAGTTTTCTTTTCTTGTATCTTTTGACTCTTCTTTTTTTTTTTTTTTT